CTCATGATTTATAAATTTGCCATTGGTAACATTTTTATTCAGTTATCAATGAAATGCCAATTTAATGTTTTTATACATTACATATATGCATATCTATATACACTTGAAGCAATTTCATATACCCTTCTTGCAAGTAAGAAAGTAAAGGATTTTCTTAGTTTTTTTAGGATCATCTAAAGATTAATGGTTTGCAATTAAAGAATAATTTTGTCTGGTACTTTTTCATATTTGAAGTATATACCTTGCTTCTGGCATCAATTTTTTATAATGCTCATTCTCTGCATATTTGTAACTTTTATGTTTTTTAAATTTTACCTTTTATCTTCTACAGCTTAAGGGCCTTTTAATGAAGTGCACATAATCCTAGGATATTCTAGAAGTAGAAAAAGTGTAGTTACTCACTTAGAACTAAATAAAATATGTCATACCAGAGTCTAGTAAATGAAGTCAATCCAGCCAAGTTTCTAGAATGATTTACCAGAAGAGTTTTAGAGATATAGAAAAAGAAACTCTAATCATTAGTAATGAGAGGAGAATCCGTACATCCCAGTTTTAATTTGTTCCCCCCATTATAATTTGGGTGGTACACCTGCGCAACCACAACCTCGGCCTTTTGAGAAATGATTGAACCATGAGGGCTTTCATTTTGTCATTTCATTTGCTGATGAGACTGTGATTCATTAGCATTATTGGGAGGCCATGGAAATGGAGGTGGGGCCTAAGAGGGAGTAGATTATGGGGCTGTTATTTCTCTCTGTCCACTTCTTCTCTTGTTCCCACATGGTCTGCTTCCTAGCTGCCATGGGTTGAGGAGATTTCCTCTGCCATACATTCCCGCCCAGTGTGATGTTTCTGCCTCACTATAGGTCTGAAAGCAATGAGGCCAGTTTACCATGTCCTGCAATCACTGAAAGTGTGAACAAAAATAAATCTTTCCACATTTAAGTTGTTTATGTTAGGTATTTTGTCACAGCAACAGGAAACTAATACCTCTGCTTGCCCTGTTTTTTTTTAAATAAGAGTCCTAAACTGATAGGTTTTTCTAAGGGTTATTCTAATAGTCTTGTGACTCTTAGATGGCACCTGGAGGCACACATCTGTCTTGATTACTTTTCTCTCGTTGCTAAGAAAAAATAACCAGCCCCAAAATTAAGGAAGGAAAGGTTTACTTAGCTTACAGTTTGTGGAGGTTTCAATCTCAAATCGGCTGGCTTCAAAGCAGGGTGACGTGACACTGGGGCAACACTTCAAGGCAGCAGCCAGCAAAAGTAGCCAGAACAAAAAATGGGTAATGGCAAGCCTCTTTTCCTCCCTTTCATTGTATGCAGGCCACCCCCTGCCCCCCAGAGCACATATGGCACTCAAAAGATCTCTATGCCTCCTCTTTCTTCAACTGCTAGCTGAAATTAATTAAGTAATTAATTTTCTTACAGTGTGGAGATCAAACCCAGAAACCCAATCATGCTAGGAAAATGCTCTACCCTTGAGTGCCACCATAGTTAACTTGGTAACTTTTAGAAAGTGGTTTCTTGGAGCCCCAACTTTTCTTAACTGTAGCTCTGCTGGACTTTGCATCCCTGAATAACAGATGAAGTCCTTGTACTATGCTTCATTTTGAAGTTTTAAGTTAAATGTCGCCTTCTTTTTCACTCATATAATGGGCATATTAACAGTAGCCCTGTTCATAGGGCTCTGGTGAAGATTAAAGAGTCAGTATATGTTAGGGTGCATCTCTGGATTATTCAGGCACTAAGAATGTCAGGCATGAAGTGTTACCATGTGTGAAAGAAAGGCTTTTCCATATAGTAGGTCTAATATGAAATGTGAACTAATATTTGCGGTAAACCTCTGTATATCTGTAGATAAAGATACAGAAGGGCAATGGAGAGATGAGCATAGTTTGTCTTGGGAATGTGAAACTAGTGGTTTTAAATGTAGGCCTTTCCTCCCCTCCCCACCTCGGTGGTATTAGGGATTAAATCCATGAGTGCCCTACCATCAAGTTACATCCCCAACTCTTCTTTAAAAACTTGAAACAGGGTCTTGCTAAGCTGCCCAGGTTGGCCTTGAACTTATGGGGTTTTTTTTTTTTGCCTCAGCCTCCCAAATATCTGGGATTACAGGTATGTACCATTGCTGCCACCTTAAATGTATATATTTCTGTAAATATTAATAAAGTTCTTGTAGAATTACAAAATATTTATATTCCTAATTCCTTTGTTGCATGTAATTTGGACTAGTAAATGTAATATATTTTATATAAAACAGCAGATTTTGCTGTTTTTGTTTGTGTTTTTTAGGAAGAGAATTATTATTTAGTTTTAAAGGAAGTCTGAAGAACTTTATATAAATAACTTCACAGTTTAGTATGTAATTTTGACATTTTCAAGATATTGATTTTACTGTCCTAAAACTGGGACAGATTTCTCCTAGGGAAAGAATAATTATCAGTGAGCATTTGTTTGGAACAGCCCCTCAGCATACCTCTCAACGGTTTTTTATAGGGTGATGCATACAAGCAGGCTTTAATCACCTCATAATAGTTGAGACAAAGAAAATTTTTCCTTTCTTTTCCAGATTTGTAATTGTCTATTAAGATCAGAGATTCAATAATAGAAATGCAGACTGAGTGTTTAGCTCAGAGAGCAGTTACCTAGGAAGCACAAGGCCTCGGTTTGATCCCTACGATTAAAAAAAAAAAAAAAAAAATTGAAACAGCAATTGTCTATCCATGTGCAGAAGTTTTTATGTTTTAAATGAGGGGATTGCTTGTTTAGAACTTTATTTTTTATAAAATGCAGATGTAGCCATATCTATATGTGAATAGATTGTTTAGTAGATCTTAAATCAGAGTAATGGTATAGCATTTGAGTCAATGAGAAATATACTTTCAAATGCCTAAAATTAAAGGTTGCCATAGAAATGTGCATCCTCTGTTCTTGAAAGGAAAACAATGTCAAGAGAAAGAAGACCTAAACAATCAGGAGATATGCCATCCTTACTGATTTGAGGGCTCCATATTATAAGACATCAGATCTTCACAAATTGTTCTTTTCAATCATAAATAGCTGCTTTTTCAGAAATTAACAGTATGACTTCAAAATTCATAAGGAGCCAAGCATAGTGGTGCCCACGTGGAATCCCAGCACTAGGGAGGCTAAGGCAGGAGGATCTCTGTGAGTTTGAGGTTAGCCTGGGTTATATAGTGAATTTAAGACCAGCTTCAATTACAGAGTGAAATCCAGTCTGTGTGTCTGTGTGTCTGTGTGTCTGTCTGTCTGTCTGTCTGTCTCTCTCACACACACACACACACACACACACACACACAATTTGTATGGAAATACAAAGGTCTAAGATTAACTAAAATGATATTGAAGAAGAACAAAGATGTTAGTTTTATAATACCAGTTCTCAAGACTTGTTATAAAACTAATTTCGATTGTTTGAAAGTCATGGTTAGACAGAGGGACCAAGGAGAATCAGTAAAGACTCTTGCTGTGATACACACGCAGCTCCAGTGTACTGGGGAGCTAAATGCGAGGGGCATAGTCATAAAGCTTTTGGATAACCCAGGGGAATATCTTAGTGACCTCTGATTTCTTAAGTGGTGTGAACCATAATGTAAGAAAGTTGTTGAATTGTACTTCATAAAATTAACTTTTTAAAAAATCTGACGCTGCCATTAAGAGAGTGAAAAGATAACTGAGAGTCGGAAAGCACCCAATGCATATATATAAAAGATTTCCTTTCCAAAATAAGGAGCAAATTAAAAAGGGAAGTGAATGCAGCCTGATAAGAACATTGATGAGAAAAAGACAACTTAGTAAAAATGTTAGTAGGATTGAGCTAAGACACCACAAACTTGGATATTCAGCTGTTCAGTTAATATATGAAAGGATTTAACATCCTTGACTTATCAAGGAAATGTGATTTAAAACCGCAATACAACCCCACCACATATCCATCAGAATAGCTGAAATGAGGAAGATGGAAAATATTTGCAGGAATATGGAGGAATTAGGATTCTCATGTACCAGCTGTAAATCGGTACAGCTTTTAAAGAAGCTTTTGGCCACAGAGGACCCAGAGTAAACCCGTGCGTGTTCTCTGATCCCACAGACCCTGCCTGTATTCCCAGCAGCAGTGACTGTTTGGGGGCAGCACTGTGTGTGTAGTCACGGGCCTCTTGTGAGGAGGAAGGGTACGTCAGTTTTACTTGTCTGTGTAATAGGATAGCACACAGCTTTGAGAGTGACCTGCGTTGTGTTAGTGACTTTGGGGGGCAGTATGGAGGTGGAGAGAAGGTGAGAGGGGACGCGCTCTGAGATCGTACTTGTCTTCAGCACTTCTTTCGTGGCTTTGTTCACTTCTAAAATTCATCTTTTGTATTGTTTATCTGTGCGCATTTCTGTCTGGAGATAACACTGCTTCAGTAAAACAGTTCTCAGACTGGCCAAAGAGTGTAATGGTCTCGTGTGGTGATACTCTGTGTCCCCCATCTCTGTCCTAGGCACCTTTCTCTTAGAGGAGGCAGCTCTTGCACTCTTAGATTGTCTTTTCCTGTGCTTTATTCTTGCTTTTATTCTCAGTCTTCTAGCCTTTCTGCAGATGGGACTAAGGTGCTTTGTCAAATGCACCCTCACTAACTGCAGTCCTGTTCTGTCCTGAGCTCACTCTAGGGTCCATTGCACCAGTCCTTGTGACCATTTCTGTTGACTCTTGGGAAAGGAATAATAAAATGTGCCCTGCCTGTTGTTGAGATGATCAGTTTTGCTTACTTGTGCTAGGTGCTTGCCACATCTGGGCCCTGCTTTTCTCACCTGTGAGAACCGTGATTCAGTGGTGAACAAGTGTGACCTGAGATCAGTGGTTGGCTGCATCATACAGTGTTTGGCTTAACTCACTTCCTTGGTATTTGTCCAGGAGAGAGGCTAGCCAGAAGACATTGTCGTGTGGTACAGTTTCTTATGAAAAATGTGAATTTTATTTTTCTGTTACAGGTAACCAGCAATGGAGAGGAAGATAAGCAGAATCTGTCTTGTTTCCAAACCCAATGTAACTCATTTTTTGCAAGTGTCTTGGGAGAAATCTCTAGAATCTGGTTTTGTTATTACACTTACGGATGGTCAGTCGGCATGGATTGGAACAGGTAACAGTTAAAGCCAAATTTCTAAAAGTAAACTTTAAATAATGTGCTATTCTTCAGTCCTCAGCGATACTTCAAATTAAAACATTTCTTCAGTCTATGGACGTAAGATTAGTATTGCTTTTGCTTTTATGTCTGTCCAGTTTTACATACAAATTTATAATTTTTTTCCAGTTTTGTATGTGCAATTTTTGTATAGAAGGATTTGTAATATTTATTGCTATTTCCACAGTAGCTATTAATAGAAAAATAAGAATGTGTTCCAGTTAATACTGGTTGCCACATGAGTCTGAGGACTTGGATTTCGTTACAGCTTGAAAATGGTCTCTTTATTGAAAATACAACTACTACCTTCCACGCTGATCTCTCCTCTCAGGACCCCAGGGAAGTAGCCGGAGGCAGAGAAAGTGGGTTGGCAGGATCAAGCCTGTGTGCTGGGTTGTGGGTGTGGAGTGGTAACGTTGGTTTTCGTCTTACTTCATCCACTTATTGTTTGAATTATTTTCCAAGGAGCAAGTACTGCAATTGTAACAAGCCAAAACAGCCTAAAGCTTTGTAATGTGGTATTCAAAATTATATATGGTATTTTGATTGTTTTATGAAATAAAGCTTTAGTTTTTCTTGTCTTTTTAAATAGTCTTTTAAAAATGTTGATAAAACAGACCATTCTCTGTGATCCCTCTATTGGGGTGGCTGAGTCAGAAGGATTTCTACAAGTTCAAGGCCAGCCTGGGCTACATAGTGAGTTCAATACCAGCCTGACATACATAGAGAGACTGTGTCTCAAAAACAAAGAAAATATATGCTGGTAATCCTCAAGTCATATATGAAATACACCAAGTATTAAACCAGAAAATTCAGAATTATGTTTTATTCATAAGATAAAATTTTAAAGTTTTTCTAAAAAATTTTATTGAAATATTAAAAATCTATTTCTATAGCCATACAATAGTATTTTTAAAGTTATATTCTGAATGATACCTTAAATAAAACATTTTTATGTTAATTTACATAACATTTATATTTTTAAATTTTAAAATAGTTTCCTCAAATTTCTTACTATAATTATTATGTCATCTTTAAAATTTAAATAGATTATGAAATTCTTTTTTCTTTCTTGAATGTTAGAAATTCAGTTATATGATAGTCGAACTGAACTGAGGGACTTTTTTTTTCCTGTCTTTTTGAGATAGAGTCTCGCTATGCAGTTCAGTCTGGCCTTAGGCTCACTTTGTAGCTCAAGCTGGTCTCTAATTTGCAAATGACTTTCCTGCTTCAGCCTCCCAAGTGCTGGGATTACAGTCATACTTGTGGATTTTTCTTGTTTTCATTTGTGTTTTTACGACAGAGTCTAAGATGTGTTGATGTCATTGTAAAATAAAGAAGTCCCCATGGTGCTGTTTGTAGTGTTCAGCATATTATCTATCGAAGCTGTCAGACTCTGTGTTACAGAAACCAGTTGTGGCTGGTTTTGCACTGTAAGGGAGGAGAATACTTGTCAGCCCAGTGCCTGCATCCCAAGGAACAGGTCCAGTGGATAGTTTGTGTTTATGGAGAAGAGGGTGCCTATGGCCAATGCCGCTACCAAAACAGTACTATGACACTGTGTTTTTGTTTTTATTTTTTGATCGAAAGAATCAAAGGGTATATTAAATATGGAATATTGGTTAGGAAAATAAAAAGAAAATGAACTGTTCACTTCAACACGTATTTTCAAGTGAAAACTCCAGTTTCAGATTTATAGTTGACGTTGAGCATAAATTCAGTATATTCTACCATTTGTTTTTTAGCTAATGGCATTTAGTGTGACAAAAATGTAATATTGAGCTTATGTATTCTCTGGTGATTTGTTAACATTTTAACTTCCTGTACTGAATAAGCTCTTCAGCAGAGAATTTTATATTGCTCTACACAGTCATTTTTTTTCAAAGATATAGTATAAAGTTCAAATTTCACATATGTTTTATGCTCTTTTTACTCATTTCTATTTTTTTGTCTAAATTTTGGGGTCAAAAATAGGTAAGCAAATAATAAATCTTTGCTTCTATTTTTAGTTAAGGCGCATTGCATGTATGCAGTATCGTACTTCATAGATAGGTCATAACATAATTAAAAACATTGAAACAATTAGATAATTGAAATGTGAAAATAGATTTCCTTCCTATACCCCATCCTGTTTTGTTCTTTTTTTCTTTCATTTTGTTCAACTTTTTGATTACCGCAACCTTCAATTTGGACAATATTTTTTCTCTTTTCATTTGAGTGAAATTAAAAGGATGTGGGGTTTCTTTTCATCTCCCACACACTAAAAGCTCTGCCTTCTGTCTTTCCCAGTAGCAGTGCTTTATCTAATGAATGTGTTGGGCGGCTAATTATCATGCAGCCTCTCCTCACTTCATTATTAAAGAGAGTTGTGTTGCAGGATCCTCACCAAGTAGGATAAAGATTGATGACCATTACAAGACTTGTGAGACCTGCTGTCGGCATTGAATGAAGAGTGATCCAGCTTTGGTTGTAATTTCATTATCAAGTGATTAGATGCACTTCAGTTGTCCTAAACATAGCTTTTAGGGACTTGTATGGAAATAAGGTGACACAGCTGAGTGGAAAGAATTTTACTAAGTGAAGTAACGAAGTGGGTTTATGATGTGATATCTACAAAAGTGGGGTGACCAGGCCAAGTGTCTGCTGAGGACGTGTGCGACCCTGGGTAGCGGAGCATAGGCACAGAAGGAGAGACCCCTCAGCACCTCTCAGTCACCTGCGGAGGCTGTGGACGTGCAACTTTCCTGACTTCCTGCTGTCTGTGAACCAGCTCCTTGAATTTTGGCTTGCTTGCTTTTATGCTTTGTTATGATATGGTTCAGCTGCATTTTTGATAAATTTTAGTATTTCCATTGCTTTTATTCCTGGTTGCCGAAGTTTTAGAGCAATGAATGCTTACAGCTGTGGTTTTTCCAGATGTCCTTAGCACAGCGTTTGATTGTGACCAAGTGGGTTTGCCAGTATTGGCGTTCTCTACGCCATCAGTTGTGTACATTCACTTTTATAGACAATGTTCAAGTGAGTCTTCATAACTGGTGCCTTTTAAATATTGTTTCTAAAAGGGAAATACAAATAGAGAGATGATTTCCTTTCATATTATCTTCCCCTCAAAAATCAAGTATTTCACAGTAAGAGCAAAATTCCTAGTGGGAGGTTATAAGAGCCTATCTGAGACAAAATCTAAGATGTCACTTAAGATGTCAGCAGTTGAATATGAGCTCAGTGTGGGTGGCACTTTTGTTTATATGCTTAAATGTTGTATTCATGGTCCCTAGAATAATACCTGACATGTAGAATATACTCATTAAATGTCTTTTTTCACTAGCTAAGTTGAATGAATATATTGTTAAATCTTTTATGAATGATATCCTTTCATGGTAATGAACTGCTAACTTGATGTTTTATCTATAGATATTCCTTATTTTTCTTTTGCATTTTCTTAAGTTCTACTAAAGCTACCCTAAAAATGACATATTTATTTTATATTTCTGTTTGTCTTCTTATTTTTTTTAGTTTAGAAGAGCTGCTAAGATTTTTGAAAAGTCAGTGTAGTTGTTAATGATGATTACCCTAAATACCTACTTCAGAGGGAGAAAAAATGTGAGTGTGTTTAGAATGTGTTCTAAATTCATACAGGAGAACAAGTTATGTTTATTCTTCCCTGTATTCAGAGTCTTTGTGAAATGTGAGAATTTGATTATCAGAACTTACAAGAAATGGTTATATAAAATATATGGACACATGATAAATACCCTTTTTACCTTGCCTGTCATGGGTTTCCAGATATTTAATAATATACAGAGGAAGGTTATGAAAAGATATGTTTTATTTTTAGAGGTTCTGTTATCAAGATTTTCTTGTATTCTGTAATATTTTAAAACTGACATGTTTTTAGAGTTATGGAAGTTCTGTCACTGAGCTATATCCCCGGTTAATTTATTCAATGCCTGTGTGTGCCTGACTTATAAGAAAGACACAGGGATCCCAGCTTCACCACTCACCTCCTTCATGACTCTAAATCATTCTTTGATCTCCTCTGAGCCTGTTTTCTACTTTGTACAACAAAAATTATATCTGTAAAATTGGCAAGATTGTGGTAGTCTATCAAAACCTTTAACTGTAAAAACACACTCTCATCTTTGTGATATCCTGAGCTGAGATAGGAAGCCTCCTAACTACACAAACGTTCCAATGGAGTGTTAGATTTAAAAAGCATACAAAGGAGCAGACCCATTGCTGCTTGGGTAAGAAAGAAGAAAAACCTCCATGCCATTGATAGAAAGCCAGTGTAGGTGCTAGGAACTGAAGTTTAACTGTCAAGTCTTAGCATATCGGAATTACATATGTGTCAAATTAATTTTCTTTTGCAGTGGTAGCGATTGAACCAAGGCCCCCATACAACTAGGCAAATGCTTTACCATGGGGCTACATACCCAGCTCTAGGTATGTGGCTCAGTGTCTGCGTAGTAGAATGCTAGATTGCAGGCCTCTTAGGTACATGAGCTTACCTCTAAATGTGAAGAAAGGAATCTGGAAGAGTTAGTCTGCTTACAAAATCGTCTTACGAAAACACGGCTGCCTGGCCTGGGAATGCAGGCTTTAAGGATTATGCGTGAATAAATTCCCAGAATAGTCAAAGTCAGAACCCTAAGCATGTTTTATGTACAATGTGGGGTTTAAAATTGAACTCTGCCTCAAGTGTAAAAACTCATGTTAAAAAATTAGTTTTCCAAAGAGGTTTAGAATTGGTGAGACCTAGAAGCACTTGCAGAAAGGGAAAACATCAAATTTCATTTGAGCCCCCTTCTGCTCAGGGTACTTGCCACGCTGGCTAGAGGAGAGCCAAGCTCAGACTGTAGAAAGCACAGGAAGAAAAGCAGAGCACACAGTAAAGGACCAGAATTAATATTATAGAAACCAAGCGTGACTTGAGAAAGTCTTAAGTACATTAAAACATTCAAATACTTAAAAGAAGGAGGCTTGGTCTGTTTTGTGTTACTGTCAGGAATCGCCTCATGGTGCAGTACCACTTCCCACCCTAAGGACTGAACCCAGAGACTCATAATTGATAGGGAAGTGTTCTGTCACTGAGCTATAGCCCATTAATTTTTTCTTTGAGATAAGACATGTTTGGGTTTCCTAGGCTGGACTCAAACTTGTGACCCTCTTGCTTCGGTCTCCTGAGTAGTTGGGTATGGACCGTAAGCTAATTTTGAAGAAAAGGGTTTCACCTAGGTCACAGTTTTGAAGACTGAAAGTCCAGGAATGGGTGACCACATTGGTTTGGCCTCTGGTTAGGTCTGATCTCAGATGATGTCACACTGTGATGGCCTGTGTAAGAGGAAACATCTTGTCTTGAAACTGGGAGCCAAAGAACAATTTGGGGGTCAGGCTTGCAACAATTTGCTCTTGCAAGACCTAACCCTGGTTCTCATGAGAACTGCTGTAGCTCCTTCTAGGGGCAGCATCTAGATGTCCTAAGTGCTCCCTATGCAGGTCCCACCGTCTCTCCCATGGCCATACTGAGGATCCAGCTCCCAGCACACAAATCCCTGGGGGACAAACACCTCAAACTACAGCAGAAGGTCGAGCAAGAACAGGACATTATGAAAGAAGGTCAGGGAGAACAGCTAGAATTGGAAGTACAGTTATTGAAATAAAAAACTCAATCCAAGGGCCAAGCATCAGTTTCAGAGATACCTAGAGGACTGCAGGATAGAGAACTGTAGTATGGTCTGAGTGTGGCATGCACGGCAGGAAGTTTCAGGCCCTTCTGATTCCTCATCACCTCCCTTCAGCCTCCGTTCCTATTGCTGCACACGAGATGCAAGCGAACTTCACTTTCACTTAAGGAGACTCTGCCCATGCGAGAACAATAGACGACCACTGGGTATTGCAGGGAACAAAGAAACGTTCTATGGAGTACTGAAGTTCCTCATCATTATAGGAAATAATTTCCCTGGCTGTACCTAAAAGAAGTCACCTAAAGTGGTAGTTTTTAAGATATATTCTGAGGGGTCTGGAGGTTTACCTCAGTAGCATAAGCGCCTGCCTCGCAAGCAGGCAGTCATGAGTTCGATCCCCGGTACCGATAAAAAGGAAAAAGACGAGAAAAAAAAAAAAAAAAAAAAAAAAAAAGATATATTCGGAGAACTGAAGAAGAATTCCAGGAATCTAAGGATTTTCGTATGTGATTTGAGCCTAATGTGTTTCTCAAAAATTGCTCGTGCCATTAAAAGCTATAACTCAGTTTAAAAATATGTAATGTGTAGATTGATATTACTTTTGTATAAATTATTTACATATGATAAATCAGTAAACCATGTTTCACAGTTTTTCATTTTAAAACTTTTACTGATGCTTTCCATAGTTTCTGAGTCCGAGATTGGCCAAGAAGCAGACGACATGGCAATGGAGAAAGAAAAATACGTGGGCGAGCTGAGGAAAGCCCTGGTGTCTGGCGCTGGAACTGGGGATGCATACAAGTTTGATTTTTCTGAAGGGGACTGTTGTTTCTCCTGTGAGAAAAACCTGAAAGATGTTTCAGTAAGTACCTTTTCCCATACCTTCATGCACAGTAAAATGTCCTGCCTCTGACGGAGCTGTGTTAATATTTAAGAACTTTTCGCTTGATACCCAAAATGCCTCAGAAATCAGTGCTTGGAAGCTATTTGGTTTCATGGTTAAAGTCATTAAGAGCTTCAGATTAATGAAGTATGAACAATAATTATTGGAAAATGTACTTTTAAAATGTTTTAAAATTTTGAGTGTCAGAATCATATGAATGAGTAATTTAGAAAAAGTGGAATCAAAAGTTTTAGACTATTGTGAGAAAGTTTTATTAATGTTGGGGAAATACTGAATTTTAAGAAAGACAATGTTTACAATACTTAATACTTAGGGCTTATTTTCCACTTTATTAATATACATTTGAAATTGTAAAATATCATAGTTAAGTGTAGTGAAACATATAATTCAGGATTAAGGATATATTATTTATATCATTATACTTAGACACACTAAAATAAACAAAATAACTTTCATCCCAACCTTCCCAAATCTTGCACTTTTCAGACAAGAATTTCTGCGATTCATCCTATCCATTTCCTGTATCGATTCAAAATAAGGGAATGGTTTTTAAAGGTCCTATAATTACCCATCTTTGTCACCATTGGCTTATCAGTTATGAGATGTATAGTGTAAATGAAGAAATTTTTACTATATTAAATGTATAGTTATTACATATTTGTTTTAGAACTAAATTTACTGTAAAAGAAATTTTAAACCACCTCTTTAACCTAGAATGATTAAGGAGTTTTTATCAATTAGGGAAATATTCACAGAAACACAAGGCATCATTGTTTTCATATATATATATATATATATATATATATATATAATCATACAGATGCTAGTGCAGACTTTGTTTAGTAATTTTTTTGAATTAATGTATTTCAAAGTAATGTTTTTTTTGAATTAATGTGTTTCGAAGTAATGTGTTTCGAAGTTATGTGTTTCAAAGTTTTATACTTTTTCTAATCAGCTTTACTTTATATAAGTTTCAATATACTGAGGTCCTTAAAATGACAATTTAAAAACATTTTGTCTCTAAAAAAGAGGATTTATTACTTTCTCATTTCTGGTACAGAAGAGCTGACACTCACAACTTACAGGAGGAGGGGTTTGTCTTGGCTCACAGTTTCAGTCCATGATTGACAGCTGAGCACACAAGTGGTGTGGTAGGAAGGGGCTGGGAGGAGGAGAACTGCCCACATGGTGGTCAGGAAGCAGAGAGAGAAGAGGAAAGCTGGGAAGGAAGGTACCCCCTTCAGGTCTTTTTTTCTTTTATTTATTTATTTACTTATTTATTTTAGACAGGCTATCATTATGCAGTTCAGGCTGTCCTTGAGTTCACTTTGTAGCGCATGCTGGTCCTGAACTCACAGTGATTCTCATGCCTCAGCCACCATGCCTGGCAACCCTAGCAGGTCTTGTCCTCAGTGACCTGCTCTCCTTGGTGTTTTCTTGTCAGTGAAGCACACCACCTGCCACTTACAAGTTAAAGGAGTAGAAATTTATTTTGGCCCACAGTTTGTGGAGGATTCAGTCCATAGTTGGCTGGCTCCCAGGTAGATAGGCATGACAGAGCAGAAATGGCTCATAACATGACATCCAAGAAGCACAGAGAGCTCCAGAGAGGAGCTGGGGAGGGAGACAAACCCTTCCAGGTCACACAACAGTACCGCCTCTTCCATCCAGCTGGACTCTTCACAGCAAGTCTGCTTTAAACCGTTTAATGCAGTCACCGTCCAGAGGTCCTGCTTTGATGGCCAGAGACTTTAGAGAGATGTTTAGATATAAATCGTAACACCTGCCTCTCCCCGCCAGCTCCTTGTCGTAGCACAAGTCATGCATAATACTCCCATGATTCAGTCACTTTCCAAAAGCCCCATCTCTGAACACATGAGGCTCTCGGGGAACATTTAGATCTAAACCATAACAGGTGCAGTAAGAAGTTTTGAACTCAATGCCAACATTTTGTTATTTATCACACATGTTCTCTCCTGTGGGCCAAGGCAAGAAGACTATATGAAACGCTGTGAAACTGCTGATAGTTTCTTCTAATATTTTGAAGGGGATGATTGTCAGATTGGGATGATGCCATTTCCAATTCACGAACATTAGTGTGACAACTGGCCTCCTTTCGTGCAGGTTCAGGGTTTCATCTGTTTGGTATGCACTGATGCATGTTCCAAGTTGGGGTGTGCCTGTTGCAGAGCTGAAAGGTTTGGCGTTTCAGACAGGGTGACACTGGGGCGGGGCTTGGAGCGATGACGTTAGGCAGCTGAAGGAATTGCTTGGCTTAGCAAGACACCTGGCTTTGTAGCTTCTGTGAAGAAAGGACTTCACAACTTCACGTGTTTTAAAATTGTGTGTTTTAAAATTGGCTTGGTGCATATCTACATGAAAGATGACAGTAACCCTGAAAGATTTTTTGTCTCACATCCTGAAAATAATCAGGTTTTTCAGGGCCATGGCTTTAGACTACTACCTTTTAAACAGATTTTCTCAAAAAAGATGGAAATAGCAGAAGATTCCCAATAATGCCAAAGTGTGTTGGATCTCAAAAGAAAATATCTTGAAGCAGTGAACATACATCTCCTTGTTTACTTATTTGTTTATGAGAAAAAGGCTACTCAGAATAGTTTGACAAAGGAGAAGTTTATTCATGGGTTAGCTTGGTTGAGAGATATTTTTAGAGGTAAAACTTTTCAGTTTTGCAGTTGGCCTTGTGGATTCCACATCACAAGTTTCCTTGGTCAGACAGGATGGGCTTCTGTAAACTGATTTCAAGAGTGACAATGTCTTGTAAATTCACCTGGTGGCACAGTATCTGCTGACAGTTTGAAACATAGCAGAGTCTTTGTTAAGGCTAATTGTGCTTGGATATCCTTCAACCTGAAAAGGAATTTGTTGGGCTGGGGATTTAGCTCAGCAGCATAAGTGCCTGCCTACCAAGCATGAGGTTATGGGTTCGATCTACAGTACCAAAAACAAAACAAACAAACAAAAAAACCCCAAGGAGTTCATAGTCCTTTCCTTGTTGATACACACATCTGGTTATGGCCAGAAATGACCTCCTAAACTTGGAAGAGAGGAGTGCACAGACTATGCACAACTATGGTTGCTATCAAGCGGATACCTCGGAGAGTCTGGGTTTTCAGGTATTTGCTGCTATCCATAAAGAAGGGTTATGTGTGGGTGATCCCTGCACAATGGGAACATTTTGAATATCAAGAGACCCCATATTAGGAACATTCTCACACGGGAGCACATGGCGGAAGGAGCTTCTGGTCTGCTGGACGTTGTGCTGCTGTGTACTCACCGCACAGTGTGGTAGCATAGTGTAGGCCAGTACGGCGGGGGACTTGATGTGTGTGTGTGTGTGTGTGTGTGTGTGTGTGTGTGGTTTTTCTGTGCTTTACATTGTGTTTTTGTGTCAAAGGTATATAACACTCACTTTGTTGAACTTACGAATGAATTTGACTTATAAACGTTGTCCTGGGATTCAAATCATTCCTAGGCAGGGATTTACTCTACTGTGTGAAAAGGGGAAGATGGACTTTGAGGAACAGCTGGCATTAACATTCAGGAAAGATCAAGACATTTATCATTCGGAAAGGTTTGCTTGTATTGTTGCATGAGTATTTCTCCAGTATTTTCATTACAAATATGTGTTTCATCCTATTTTAAGAAATGTTGCCACATACAGAGTGGCAAAGGCTATTCTGTATCTTATTATATATTGTAACTTCTATTTATTTATATTTTAAAGGAAAAATGCGCTCTAAATTCAAACAAACTCCATACATTTGAAATGCATTTCTCTAATATTTGAACGTGAAGTAAGATAAGTTAGCCAAAAGAAACAAAGCTGTCTTAAAAACAGCAGTCTCAAAGCTTATATTATTGCCATGTGTCCTTGTGGTTTGAGGGGCTCTGTATTCAAAGGGCCATTTCCAGATGAAATTGCAGAATTGGAGTGCTCCCCGTGGTAGCCTGCCAGAGGCTTCATCACAAATAGTAATGACTTTCAGGTTTGTGGGAGTTTGGTTGCAGAAGTGTCATATGGATGCCTGAAAAAGGAAGTCATAATAGTCTTTATTTTTGTGATAAAAGTATTTGTGTACATGTGCCATTTTTGCACTAAAAACTTTACAATTTCCTTATCCTTTTGGAATGTGGGAACTAAATTAGTAATGTTTCTGGTGCAGAAATTCTGTTCTAGTTAAGCCATGGAGGAGATTTTAGAACTACTCCTTATAAAACATTAATCATGTTAGTGATGCTCCTTTGTGCTTGAGGACTCCCTTTTGTTTGCTTCTAAGGAATATCTCAAAATCATAATATTTTAACTTTTGTTTTTATCAGCATTGTTCAGGAGAGAAACAGCTTACCATAGGGCCAGAAAGAGAAAGTCACATGTAAAAACTCTGCTGTCGATTGACTTTCGAATGTTGCCGATGTTAACGTTTTCTGATTGTTTTCAGCTCATCTCCTTTCACATGTATTCTCTTATTTCATCAAATGACTATTGTTACTGTGCGGAAGTAGATGCTGAAAATACAAGTCAGTAGCTAAGGAAAACTAGGATAGTACATTACAGCAGAATCCGGGGCTTTTGTCCTATGACTATACAATCAATTTATTAAGTGATTCTTTTTAGGTATAATTTACATGCAACAAAATTCACCTGTGTTAAAGGTATATTTTTACCACACAGTTCTTTAGTCCCCGATGACCCCTTTTATGCTCCAACTCTGCCATTTCTTTAGGTCCCCCGTTGCCAGTGGACTGCTTTGTGTCACTGTGGATTAATTATCTGTGCCTGTCTTGGCATTTCATATAAACGGTACTATAGAGTATGTGTCCCTGCTGGTAGCCTTATAAGTGTAATACAGGTTTTTGAGATTTATCATTGTAAGTCACTCATCAGCACTTCATTCACTCTGACTGCTGAGTGTAGCCCCTGGATGGATGTACCA